TGATATTCTTAAATCGGGCTGGCTGCTGTTTATGTTGAGTTTGCCAGCAGGGCTGCTATTAAGATAAAAGTCATAAAGGAACACACCTAGAAGACTTATCTGTGAAGATTTATATTCTCCACACCTCAAGAGTGGCAGAATAATGCTTCTTACAGTTTGAGAAGAATTTAATCAATGTAGGTGTTTCTATAAACAGTGTGCCATTTAAATGCATAACGCTACGAGTGGTTTACGATCCAATTGTGCCTAAATGGACCAATTTATTTTAAACACAGAACTGTACCACTGGACATTAATAACACTAAGTAGTGGGAAGCTGCTATGAGGAGCTATTGTCCACAGAGAAAAACAGAGGCAAAACACAGCCAATATCTTTGAGATACACATGACGTAAATCCAGACAAGATGTGGAGCTATTCTCTACAGTACCTGCATCAGCTATTTGGATAACATGCCCCTGCACTTTTTAGGACAACTCCTGATATTACACCACCCACAGCTACATACATACCAGTAATACTTTATTCAATTGTAATATTAAGGCAATCACATAAACCTCTGCCATCCATATTCATCCTGCTGTTCATGTTACAGCTTTTACAGTCATTGCTTTACATGAAAAATTACAGGTTAATTAGCAGAGAGACAAAGCTTCCTGAGCCTTGGCAGTAACACTGCTCTAGTTTAGGTTTAAGTGTCACCCACTGGATGCAGTAATACTTTATTCAATTATAATATTAAGGCAATCACATAAACCTCTGCCATCCATATTCATCCTGCTGTTCATGTTACAGCTTTTACAGTCATTGCTTTACATGAAAAATTACAGGTTAATTAGCAGAGAGACAAAGCTTCCTGAGCCTTGGCAGTAACACTGCTCTAGTTTAGGTTTAAGTGTCACCCACTGGATGCCTCACAAAGCCACCCAGACTAACAAGCTTACTCAATCATTTTTCTAATAGGAAGTTGCCAAGTTGGCATCTCAGCTCATTTAATTTGCTAATGAAACCCTATCTCCCCTCAAAAGGGGAAATAGCTTTTTAAAAGGACACAACCATGCTTAACAGCATGGGCATGGTAAAAGCAAAAAAAAAACCAACCCAAACCACCCCTAACTTTCTTATAAGAATTAAGCCTAGAATATTTTATTTTAAACATTCAGAAACTATTAGAAATGTTTACCTTGATAGTGTAAGGTGCAGGTAGAGGCAACAGTGTCATCAGAGCTTCTGGTCTGCCTCTGCACTAGACGTTCAACTGAATGCATGTCATGTCAACAAAACCCCACACCCACAATTCTTCCGCCCAAATCCCTCATTCATCTCTGCCCAAAAACCAGACAGCCCAACTCACACCACTCTTGGCAGCTCTATATTCTCCAGTGTCATTTTATTTGGTGCTTAAACAAGCAAGAGGCAATTTAACATAGAAGATAGGACAGATTATAGTACTAGACAGACTAGATCCTATTTCACTTGGATATGATCATACTGCAGAGTCCAAGGAAGGCAATACGTTTATCTGCTTTATTATAAAATTATATTCCACTCTTTAAATCAAAGAGACAAACTCATGCCAAATTTCCACTATCTAAAGACCTACAGCAAATAAAGCAGAAAAAGCAAAAAGAGTAAAAAATGCTGCACTATGTACTAGCACTCTATATTCTTTCATAGAACAATTTTAAAAAAAGATTATTTCAGACATATTCACAGTTCACAAGTTATTCCAGCTCTCAAGCACAATGGAAATGTCTGTTGTTACAAATGATTCTTCATCTATAGTTCTTCAGCTGCTTCCAGAGTTTTCCTGGAAGAGTTTAACTGCAATCCATAAGTAATATGTTAGCAATCGATTTATAAGTAAAATGTGTCGCAGCAAAATTTAGTATCTGCGGTTTCAGGCAATCACTTGAGTGCTTTCAGAATGTGTAAGAGAATGTCATAGTGACATCTTTAATGCTGCCTGAATATTTATATTGAGTGCCCAGAAAAAAGCCAAGCAAATGAAAGAATTTAAGGAAAGAATTACAGCCCAACTGATTACAAATGAACCTTCCCCTACAATGTAAAATACTGGCATTTAAAATACTGGAATTTAAGAATGCTTTTCCTGAGCCTGAAAAGTCATGAATTGATTTACGTAAGAATCACTTTCAAGGCTATTGGAAATTGTTTACTAGAGATTTTGAAGACAACCCACTCTAAAGCATCATATTTCAATGTCCTAATGTCCTACAAACACTTTTTACATTAAGAAAAAACCAAACCAAAAACTGGTGAAGAGATGGATTTATTTTTTCGAATTAGGAGAAAGGGCTAGAAGACAAGCTCAGAAGCCTGGAGTTACAAAGCCCAAGACACGTAGGAAAGCTAAATTCTCCTACTTGCTGTGCAAGAAAAAAAACAGAACTTTTTTATTGACTTAAAACAGGTTTTATTGTGAGTCATAACACAAGCTACCAAGTGAAATATAGACTTCTTCAAAAATCTGAATCAATGAAGCTTCTCCACAATTAGTGGTTTCCAAACAGTATTATTACATTTATAGTTATGATTACAAAAAAAATTTGCTCCAGAGAGTTCTGCAGCAGGCTGGTGAGCTTTACAGTTAAATCAATTTAACTGAATATTAGGAGAACATGAATATGGAAACGGCAAGCAGAAAAATGGAGCTATAGGCAATTCACATGAAGGGCAAGCTGCTCAGAGACACTGCCTTGCAGTGCATCCCAGCCACAAACACAGAAACGCTCTGTGCAGCAGCAAGAATTTCAGCATTATGCTACAGGGAAGAAAGGGAATAAGGTCTTAAGGAAAAGTTAAGTTTTAGCCTGGTACAATTGCTTTCATTAACATCAGATTTCTTGGAATTAAAGTCATTAAAATACAGCACAACCTGCAGCAGAGGTTGCACTAAGTGCAGCTGTTTCACTAAATACTATAAGGTATTGAACCTGTGGATGTGAAAGCAATACCAGCGTCAAACATCACCTGCACCCAGGATCTCAGAAAGCTTCCTCCAGAACACAGAGCTACTCAGGCACTTCTGATGTATACTCAGCTTTGAACAGGGTTACACAGCAGCAGTTTAAGAACAGAGTGTTTTTAAGAAGTCTAAAGCCTAAGGGGGTTTTAAAATAAAAACTCGACTTTCTAGTCACAAAGATCTAGAGCTCTTAGAGCTTGTTCTGGAGCTCCCTCTTGAGGTTAGATACTACACCCTGTTCAAGAGACTGCAATATCTTCATAACTACCCAAAAAGAGAGCATGTCCTTGCAGAAGAGATATTATCAAAGGCCTCCTCTCAAAACTCTGTACACTAGTCTGTAGAGAGCATTGGATGCTTTTGAGTTACAAGTGCGGCAATCTTAAAAAGCTGGTGAGAAGATAAGCGCATGTTAAACACAGGAAGATAAAATGAAGAGGTGCTTTACTTACACACCTTTGGCAGCCAGTGCTGGAGCACCACAGACAGTAAAACCTCTGCTATTGTGAATCATGAAATGGAACAGCACACCCTGATGATGAGAAACTAACGGTGTTGTCTATTTGTAAAGAAACAGCAGCTACACTGGGTTTATTTAAGGCTGTTAACAAGTCCCACTCTTTGGGTGACCTTTTAAACTACCCTAAGCATCCCTCTGTCTCCTTGCTAGAGCTACCTTGTTCCACAAAACTCGACTGCATTACTCCTTGTCTTTGTTGGCACAAGCCGCTACATGGGCTGACGCCTCTGGGTTTAAAGTGCTGCATTAGCTTTTGCCAAAGTTCGCAAAACTATTTAAATGGGTTCTGCTGGAATTTCACTCTCAAAACCAGTAACTTTCAACAGGCTCTAAAGGGTCCCCACACAGAAGCTTTCAACACTGAAATTCCCAACAAAAGAATTTTTCCAAACTCCTGTTGAGAGTTTTTCTTCTCCCACAATAGCTAAAGATTAAAAATCAGATGGCCAGGAAAGGCTTTGGAAGCAGTGAAAGAGCCAAAAGTACGAGCCTTGCCTATGACGGTCATATTTTACTACTGCTGAGCCCCTACTCAGCACTTTCCTCAGTCCTTGAGCAAGCACCCATGCTGGCCAGCTGAGACATCAACAACTACCTCTGCCTCAATACTGTCAAGTCCACCCAATCAGTGAGAATAGCTTTTTATGAGAATCCATAGCTGAGAAAATATTCTTTTTCTTCTAGTCCTACATTTCCAGGGAGGCTCTCCCTGCCATTTCTTTCATCAAAGAAACATTTTTAACCCTTTTCCAGTTCAAGCTGTGAGGTCTCCCACAGACTATCAGAGATCAAAGTCACATCATTTTAAATCTTACATCCTCTGTCATGGCTTCAAGTTTCAGTAAGCTTTTCTATTTTAGGGCAGAATGGATTTCAACTTGAATGTCTCAGAACAGCAACACACAGTCTATTCCACTGTCCTTATTAACTAAAGTAACACTAAAGAAATGCCCAAGTCCAGAGAGATGCTAGCTCCTTCCACTGTGTGCCCTGCTGTGCTTGAAATGTGCAAGGTATTTGTCATTTCATAAGTGTAGCCCTTAATTGATGCATCAATTCTGAAACAGACTTGCTGTTTCAGATGCCAGGTTGCAGACAGATCATCTCCTAAAGTCACACAATTTTTCTGTTAACCCTTTGCTAGAGTCTCTCTCCTCTACGTTCAGTGAAAAACACAAAACAGACAAAAAGAACCAACAAAAACCCCATATAGCTAGAATCAGATCTTATTCAATCAGCACAGAAACTTGTGGAAATTTGTGAACAACTCATCAGTTATATCAAGTGCAGGACTGAAAAAATGGCTTGAAACTTGGACCTAGAAAGGTCTCTCTTCTCTACTGCCAGGGGGCATTGACCTAAGAGTTTTAGATCTCTACAACCAAAAGGCATCACAATAAGCTACCAAAAATATCAAAGCAGGTTGGGAATACATATCATAGCCCACATTAATTTCTAGAAAATTGCTTAGGACCTAAAGATGTTTTCTTACTTTTCATGGTGCCCTCCTCCTCTTCCTCTTCTGTGTTTATGACCATTGTACCCAGCTGGGATTCCAAGGTGCCATCATGTTCTATCATTGTGTTGGCTCCATCAGTCATGGTGTTGACAGCTCGTATGGTACCAGTTTCATCTCCGCTTGCCCTCACCATGGTACCTGAATCGGTTTCATCTTCTTCCTGTACAAGGATGCCGTAAATACATTTTTACAGATGGTGGTGAAGTCCCAGGAAGAAAGTCGGTATTCAACAACACCAGCAAGCCTTACTAATTCAGAGATTTTTACAAATACACATAGAAGCGACATTTTGTTTTATGCACTTAGTTCTCTCCCTGTCATCTCCAAACAGGTAATGAAAAGTCTTCGTATTTTCTGCCAGCATGATAAATAAGAGAACAGACAAATAATCAGCAGAAGCTTCTCAATGTGAGTTGTATCTCATTTCTGAGCTGGTGACCTGTCTATAAGAGTAGATGATAATACTCACTCAAGTCATTAAGTGTTTCTAATCACGTTGCCAGTTTTAATAGTAGACCTAAAACCCTATCCCATGTGGTACAGCTCACTGAGGAGTCATTAGTTATTAGACAGCAACAAGTCTATCAAGTCAATCAAGTCTGGGGTGCCTTTGGCACACTGAAGAAAAGCGATCACCCTATTTTTTAGGAGTCTGTCTTTAACATTTAGGTAGTCTTACTTGCTATAAACTTCAGAAGCACTGACAAAGAATGAACTTAACTTGCAAATCTTTAAAAGGGCAAGTCTAGTCACTTTTTTCAGATTAAAATTATTTCTTCTCTTTCCATTTGTTAACAGGTACTAATATTATAGAAATTGAATTATTGCTGTCAAGGCTCAAGAGACCTGGAGGAAAACACAAGCTCCTGAAACAAATTCTGGTAGGACAACTTCCTGGCAGATAGTTACAGTGGCCAGACACAGCAGTTTCAATAGGTGGTGTGTGCTTCAGTAGGTATATATTGCAACTAGGATTTCATTAAGAACGAGGTCAAAATTTCCACAATCTATTTAGTTTCTTGGAAATGCGGACCAGGCACCCAACTACAACAACAGAAGTCAGTTCCTAGGTTTACAGCAGAGTTTCTAGGCATCTCACCTTGGATAAGATGCTCATGTTTTGTTACAAGAATGAAGTTCTTTGTACGTGACCACAGGCTTACTGATCTGACTTAGCATTAGAGGGAAACCACAGGTCTCACACATCAAGCTGTAACACTCCATCTCAATGTCACTGAAAGAAAGAAGTACACCCTCCACGTTCTGGTGTTCCATGCGTTTTATCTGTTCTGTCAAGGGAATCTGTATCACTTACTTCCCAACCTCAGAACCAACAGCAAGAGGAGGAGAAAACTACATGAGACATTAAAGGAGGAAAAGTAATTTTACGTGGAGATGAGTGGGTGAGAGGAAGTAATAAATTTGTTAGCTACATATCATTTAACAAAGGACTACAGCAGAAATTTCCACAGTATGTGGGAAGTGCTTGGGAACACTCTTCTGCTAGCAGACACAGAGAGGAGAAGCTTTGGGAAAACACACACACCAACAGAAACCACTCAACTCCACTACACAGACACCATCGCTCAGCAGTGTGACTCCAGATCAGTCAGAAATGACGGAGAGAGGGTAAGGACAATACTCTCAGAGTCGACATCATGGCAATGTGACAAAGTTACTTCCACACTGAATAAATAGGTGGTCCTAAACTGGAAAACTAGACAAACAATACCTTCAGCACAGATACTGTGGGCCATGCTATTCCAGTCTAACCCCTGACAGGCCTGGCACACAATGCCTTTTGTTGCCCATTTCATTTATTCAGGTTGAAGCAGGCAGAGGCTCAAAAAACAGCTTTCAACATGCTTTCCATATTCACATGCTGTAACCACTGAAACAAGGAGCCCAAACTTAAATTCACAGCAATCCCCTGAACACTTGTCATGCCCTCACCTCAGGTTTCTGGCGGTTGCTCTTGTGTAATAGAAAGTTTCTATAAGGGGGGTTCTAAAGCACAACAATAGTAAAACAACATAACATACTTATATCACAGTGTATCACAGATGATATTATTACTTTATACTAGGAGAGCAGTCTAAGACCTGAATCTACAATGAAAAATTCTCATTACTGCATAAATAATCTAACTGCAAAAATGAATCAAGTCTTTTGCATACACTACTTTGCAGACCTATTCAATCACAGGTCTCTAGCTAAACAATAAGCCATATGTGCTGACTATCCCACTCAAATAAAAAGACTGAGCAGGGACCAAGCATCAAGTTAAGCAATCATAAAGTAGAAAACTCAAGAACCAAGTCAAATCCATGGGCACTTGGACAAAATATCACAAAACCAAAACCCAGAGCAGCTAAGCCTTATGAAAGGAGCAAGAGCTGGGACTTCGCACATTGTTGCTATTAAATACTCACTGAATTTTCTTCATCATCTTGATCTAGTTCACGCTGTTGTGCCTCTTGACGTTTCAGCTTGATATCCATTGCTTCATTAATCAAGTCTCGCAGAATTGACACTCCTTTGGCACTTTTAACAAATGGATGCTGGGAAGTATTTCAAAAACAAATAAGCACTACCTCCAGCCCAAGATACAATAGTAAAAAACACTGTTACTACAGCCTACTTGGAACCAAAATTAAGGTTTAACTCAATACATTACTAAAATAAAAATCTAATACTTCTCTTTGGCACAGGAGAGACACCTCCCACGCTCCAAACAAGATCATGCTCCAAAGGCACCACTGCTGTGAGACCTTGGGCTCATTCCCCTCCCTCAACTCTAACTTATTTCTTTCCTTAGCAGCTGTCCAGAACTAATTACACAGATCATTGCTCAGAATGGTCTAGGCCTGGTAATCGCTTTCATTTAGCCTCCCCTTTTGAGTGTTTTAAAAGGCAGTTTCTTGGCAGTGTGTGTGAGAATTTGAAAGTAAAAAAAAAACCTCCAAAAGCCAAACAAACAGAAAAGAAACCAGAGAAGACAATGGTAGGAAGTTGCCATTAGACTGGTTCTTCAAGAAGAACTGAAAAGTTGAAGTTGAGGGTAAGATTTTTAAAATCAGATACTAAAAAGTAAAATCTGTAGTGAGCAGGAGCAGCAAGAAATGAAACCAACATCAGACACACAGCCCTGGCTACCCTAGCAAGCGTTCTCTAGAGCTTACGTTCTTCTAAGAAAAGGCAGACCTGCAGAAGCTGTGTTGCAGTGGCACGCTGCTCTGGGCTCTTGACTAGACACTGTTTTACAAAGTCGGTGAAACTGTCTGACCAGAGCTCTGGTTTCCGGAATGTTGGAGGTGGATTGGTAGGAATCATGAAAATTGCCTGAAAACAGAAGAATATTCCAGATTTCCAAAGAAAGTTTAAAGCTTTCCAACTATACAACATAAATACACACAAACACACACTGGTATTGACAAACAATAAGACATTTCAAGTTTGCTGCTTCTGAAGAGTTTGTGCCAATATTACACACACTCAGAGGGATCAAGTAGCAGCAAGAAACCAGATTTTCTCACTAGATGCTTACACTTCTATCTGAGCCATTATATGCCCCAAATGGTGTGGATCTGCCATTTTTAAGCCTTAAAAGTTTGTGCTTGCATTAAAAAAAAAAAAAGGGGTTGGATATTAGGAAAAATTTCTTCACTGAAAGACCGATCAGGCATTGGAACAGGCTGTCCAGGGAAGTGGTGGAGTCACCATCCCTGGAGGGGTTCAAGAAACATGTAGATGTGGTGCTTCGGGACGTGGTTTAGTGGGCTAGGTGGTGTTGGGTTGACAGTTGGACTTGATGATCCTTGAGGTCTTTTCCAGCCTTCATGATTCTAGGATAATACAGCTGAAAATATGTTACATCACCCCCAACACAGGCAGCTGCAGCTATGTCTTAACAGAAGAGACCATGATTTTCCTTCCCATTAATCTTCCATGAAGATTCTCCTTCTCAAACAACTGTTTTTCATTTAATCAACAGTACAAAGAACTGACAGAAAACAAATCATTTATTCTAATTAAAAGCAAGATGGAATGTTAATATGTTATTCAGCAAAACCTTTCCGTACAGCAATACATTTTAAAAGGCCACAGTCCTTACCCGCATAGGATGAATATCTGCATATGGTGGTTTGCCTTCCGCCATTTCTATCGCAGTGATTCCCAGAGACCAGATGTCTGCAACACAGTTATACCCAATTTCTTGAATCACTTCTGGAGCCATCCAAAATGGGGTCCCTATAACTGTGTTCCGCTTTGCCATGGTGTCCTGAGAAGAAGAGCAGGATAAAAATACAGATAATGGCAACTGTACTAGCCACACACTTTTATTAATGAATTATTACCCTAATTATCTTCTATTTGCGCACATGCACATTATTAGACTCAGCAAGACTGGGATACGAAGCGCTGCAAGAGGAATTGAAATGTGCTTACAGAAGTTACAAATGTCCTGAAGAAAACAGTAAATGCTATTACAAACCATTACTCAGGTATAACAGCTTCCACAGAGGAAGATCTGCACTGATCTGTTGCTGGTTTAGGATTTCATTATGTTGATGTAAAGTGCTAAAAACCAGTTTAGAACAATTTCTCGAAATCCCCACAAGCTCGTCATACTTGCATGCGAGTTAAAAAGATAAACTGAAGTGTATGCAACAATCATTGTTGTACTTACTGTAAGCTGTCCTGCCACTCCAAAATCTGCAAGTTTAGCATGTCCCTCTGTATTTAGCAATATATTTCCAGCTTTGATGTCCCTGTGTATTTTCCTCATGAAATGCAGGTACTCTAGTCCTTTCAGTGTTGATTGCACTATTGTAGCAATTTCCTCCTCTGTGAGCTAAAGAAAAGAAGAGTTACTGACAAGCTACCAGTTGCTGAGATGTAACACTATTGTGCCTCAGTCCGTGTTTTTCTGAGATTCCCTAATTGCCATTTAGTTGCCTTCACCAAAGGTTGCCATACTAATGGGAAATTAGTTAGCAACTTACAGCATTAGGTAGTAGAATTAGATTACAACCAGCAGACATACACACACGTACCACATTTCACATACCATAACCCTTTCTCAGCTAGTAATTCCTATCCTACAATAACCAAAGCAAAGCAGAGTCTGTTATTTGGAATGGGTCTGGGTTTTCAGGAAAGCCAACAAATCAAAACCTGCTCCACCAATTACATTAACCAGATAACCAAAATGCGATCAATGTAATCAGCTTTCTCATTTTCAGAGGAACAAAGGACCCACAGCTCACGTTATGGCCAATGGTTGTGTCTGGCATTGACACCGTGAGAATTAAGCCCAAACTACTCAGGTTCCTTGAGCTGCTGGACACCCATATTTCCCATTGATACATTAAAAAGGAGGAAGGACGTACAGTTTTATTTCGTAATCGAATTATATCAGACACGGATCCAGCACCACAGTATTCCATGACTATCCACAGGTCTGTGTTCTTAAAATAGCTGCCATAATATTTCACCACGTGAGGACTATGAAATGTGAAAAAAAGGAGAAGAAAACAAAGGGTCAAATACCAGTAACCAGCATAACTGAACAAGCACAACACATTGCAAAGTCCCTGAGTAAATTTTAGAAATTAAGAGTTGAAGTGCCACTGAAACCCTGATCAGAAGTATTCCAAAACAGTCTGAACTGGCACAGGACCAGCGCAGCCCTGCCAAGCCTCTTCCCCACAGCGGTGCTCATCTCACCTGCCAGTCAGTCAGTTCAGGGAGTTAAACCATCTGAAAATAAATCCTACAGAAATAAGGAGCGATTAGCCTTCAGTCTGGTTTAGCTCCCTAAACTGGATTACAACAAGGGCAGTGCTGTGGCAAGCAAGAAGGCAGGACAAAGGAATGAGAAACAGACATGGCAGTCCCTGGTAAAGCTGCTGCAGAGCATTTGCAACAAAACAGAAACATCAAATAAGGTCCAAAGTTTGCTGGAAAACAGCTATCATGTTGATTGAGAGGAATGTTCCCCCGCTACCACACACGCCTACTTGTTTCTACAATTTAGTCCAGGATGTATCTCAGCAATCCAGTACAGCCTAAGACTGTCCCTCACAGGCAGCATCTGGCTGCCCAAAAAAGCAACCACCTAGTAAAAACTATATTGATCAGAATAACCATCTGTCCTTGGAAAAGGTAAAGCAGAAAACTAACAGAGACTGTTCCTAATTTTGTGGGAACAGAGCTAAGGAACAGAAGTGCACTTTATCCACTCTCTGCTGAGTATTTCTAATGAAAAACTGTAAAACTAGCAAAACGCAGTCAGTCATGCTGCACAGTGTCCCTTAATGCTTGCACAGAAAACATGATGCTCCAGTGATTCGCTCCCTCTGCTGTTCATAACTGTAAGGTCTCATTTCAGGCCTTACGATGTTAATATTTAATTTATTTTAAGAAAGAGACATCTAGTAATGTTTTCCCAGTTACACAGTAAGATTTTTCATTAACAATTTCTTTTCAAATTGCATTTTGTTGTCTGCCACCAATCACTTTCATTTAAAAATAGTGAGTGAAGAGCAACAGAGTAAGTGACTGGGACCACAGATTTATATTGCTAATGTAATTTATTTTAAATGGTTTTCCATGGCTGAAGTCCATCAAAGTACTGTTTCTTAAGGTTAAATTCATAATACCAGAAGAAATTAGTATATTTTAAACCTTCAGCCTAGGACACACTTTGAGAGCGGGTCTTCTGCACCCACGAGCTCTTCATTAGCTAAGTTTTTTACAATATCTTTTTCTCATAAGAAACATGCAAAGACAACGCAGAGAGCCAACCAGCAGCCCGCAGAGCTGCCAGCAAGTTATTCTGGGGATGCTCAGATCAGCAGACAGCTTGTACCACACTAGAACCTGCACAGGCAGAAAACGGCCAGGAAGGACAATTCTGCCACAAGCAGACGACAGCCTATAGATTACGCACATGCAAGAGCAGTCATGCATTAGTGGCTCTCATCCACGTGCTCCTTAAAAACAAACACACAAAAACCCCTCTTCTAACAGTTTTCTATGTCCCTACCAAAACTTGTTTAGAAGTCATTACCCTTTGGACATGGGAACTGCTGCTCTAGCACACAATCGAGTTACCGCTGCTCAATAAGCGATGGCACATCGGGAGAACTGCTGTACCTGCTCACACGCTTGGCTCTTTGCTGGCAGCAAGTGCAAGGTTATTCAACGTAGCATAATGCTCTCTCGTTGCAAGCTAAATTTTTGTTGTCTTACCTTTGCTTGGATTAACACTACCCAAATGGTCAGTTAACATGACTCAGTTGATACGGGTAACTTGATTGTACAAGTCCAGCCTTTTAAAAAACATTTAAGGCAACATCATGGCTTTTATTTGATTAAATGCCAAATCAATACTTTTCTTTGCACACCGATAATGGGTTTTGCAGTATACATTTACCTGTCACATTGCTGCATTATGGATATTTCCTTTATAATCTCTTGCAGGTCAGATTCCACAGGAACTTGTTTAATTGCAACAACTTGACCCGTTTCTTTATGAATGGCTTTGAACACACTGCCATAGGAGCTACAAAACAAAATATTAAACAAACACTTAATACAATAACATTTTTAAAAAGCAAATGTTAAGGTTTTGCTGTTTGCAAGTGCAGCCCTCAGGTAAAAAGTTAACTATCCTTCTGCTAAAATATTTTGTAGTTTACTGTAAATAATCAGTCCACTAGCTTCTAAACACTATAATAATGTGAATAAGTCACAGCACACCGAGACGGTCAGAAAAGAGCCAACCATCATTACACTGCCCGCAGCTTTGGAATGGCCTTTTACACCAATCCAACAAATACAATTCTCTTTTTCCAGCATACATTTCCAGCTGAGCATCAGTGGTCAGAGAGGTTTGCTTGTTCTGGTCAGATATTATCTGCCTTATTTCCAGCTTCTTTACTTACAGCAGCCAGGCAGATTTACAAACCAGTTTTTTCAAATTAACTGCTTGAGATGGCAAACACATCACTCACCAAGCATGGCCATGCTGCTCTGCCTTACCAAGTGGCATGATGGAACAAAAGTTCATTTCCAACATGTGGATCTTCTGTAAGAGGTACCCAGGATGAACTACAAAACCTCTCGGTTCCCACAGAGCCCTGTCAACTCCAGACTGGCATTTTCAGCAATCTTTTAATTCCCTGCTGCCGAGATATAAACTACTGTTTGGTTTAAGATATCATACTTTGGGGAAACAAATTCTTTGTTCTGTTACTAACGAAACAGTGTCACTATGCCAGTACATACCGTTGCAGTAATAGGATCAAGACAAAAGCAAAAAAATCAGAGACCACTGAGCACATACCCATTACATAGGTTTGTTCTTAGAGAAATGTACATTGGGCACATTGGAACAGAACACATACCCTTCTCCAAGCTTCTCCAATACATCAAATACTTCTTCAGGTTGTTTGGTTAAACTGTCTTCATCCAACTTCTTCAGCTGCCTGTAGATGTAAGAATATGGAATTATTACATTTAATTTTACAGGAGTTCGGGCTTTGTTGAAACAGAAGAATAAATAGCACTGCTTAAATGCATGCAAGGGTTAGCATGAAGTACATCGGCTATGAAGTAAGTTTATTTCACCTGACAAGGAGACCAAATACTATCAGGACCCAAGAGCAAAAGAGGACTGGGAGTTACAGAGACCAGAATTTCATCAGGCACACAAATCTACAGTTCTTGGTGGAAACACATCTCGGGATATATACGCTGGTGGTCAGATCCCAACACAGCACTGCAGAGCCTTGGAGCTATTAAACATATCTGCTAAAGCTCAATATCCTGAATGGAAGTACACGCACTAAGGCCATGCAAAAGGGAACATCATCTTCCCTCATGTCTTAGAATAAGTGTGGAATACATTTGTTGGGAGGAAGGAGGCAATACTGATCTCACCTGAACATTTTTAACATCAGAAATTCAAATCTAAACTTTGTGGGCCTGGACATATACTAGGAAAATTCTATCAGGAGGAAAAAAAAAAAGGAAAGGAAACTGATATGTGACCCTTTCAAAATCTCAGTGCTGTTTGGCCCATCCCTCTTAAGTGCATTGCTGATACAAGTCAGCTGAAATACTTCCTAGGGAAAAAAACCATGCTATGTACTGTGACCCTTCACTCAGCCCCCCTCACCCCTAGTGCAACTTTCAGGGAGATTCCGTACACAAAGCAACAAGATCATCAACCACATTTCTTTCAGACCGTCTCTACCACACAAGAGAGCTGTTCACCAAAAAAAAAAAAAAAATCTCCTGAAACAGGAAAATACTACATAAAAAAAGTTTGGAAACAAAGTATTTTACTGTCGAACAAACAGTATCGAGTAGCCTACAGACAAGCCTCTTGCATTTCCACACGAACTAAAAAAAAAAACAAACTGAAACAACAACCACCAACACAAAAAAAAAAACCCCAAACAAAAAACCTCCAAATGCCTCAAACCAGCTCATATAAGTTTTTGAAACACAGAAGCTTATTAATCTCAGTTTTCAGAACTTACTGGTCTCACAACGAGCAGTGCTTAAAATGAAATGTGTGCAGTTGCAACTGAAACATGTGTGTTTCAGTTACTACTGAAAGCTCTTACTGCTGCTGTTAAAGATCACAACTCCAGCCACAGGCACACTAATTTTTATACTAAATATATATCTTTTTCCCCCAGCTTCTTCAGAAACAGAGCAAGATACCACTCATTGATTCCTGGCTATTATGTTTACACACAAAAGCCATACAGGAGAAGCAGTTCACGCATGGAGTACATACAACAGCTTCCTGAAGCAAAGGAAACATTAAAAAGAAGCAGACTCAGGAAGTGGTGAAATACTGAAAGTAGTCACTAGCTTCCCTGCACAGATAAGCACTCACCAACAGAATGTTACTTGTCCTTCTGAAAACGTAGAGAGAGGAGGGTGCAGGAAGAGGAGAAAGGCTGGGTGGGAAGTATCATTGACCATACAATCCACCATTTCCAAGGAGCCCAAAAAGTGGCGATACAGGAGGCAAAGTGTTCTACAACTACTGCGCTTGCATCAAACCACCTCATTTCTGCTGTAGCCCAGGAGCGCAATTGCTCTGCACTGTCCAGTCCGTCCAGCGCTCGCTGCTCCCAGCCACGCTCTGCTTCCTACGAGGTGTTACACAGCACGGCTGAACAGCAACACAACCCCAACCTTGCCTAAATCGTTATTCAGATCCAATCCGAATCACCTTACAGTTAAACACTGGCATAACCCATTACAGAATAAAAACAGACTTGTTTTTTAATACTAGACACATGGCTAGTTTGCTGTTTAAAAAACCAAACAAGACAGCTCTATGTCACCGCAGCCCAGGGCCAGCAGCCTCCCTTGTTCGCTGCCACCAGCTCTCCCCGGGCCCCAGCTGCAAAGGAGAGACCCACACTCCATCCGAACCGCTGCGGAGCTCCGG